TGGTCTCGATCTCTTGACCTCGTGATCCATCTGCCTTGATCTCCCAAAGTGTTGGGGTTACAGGCATGAGCCACCATGCCCCTTCTTTCTTTCTGCATGACTTTGAGCAAGTCCTTTTCTCAGGTCTCCCATCTGCAAGACGGACATGAGGATGCCTACCTCATAGGCATCAAGTTGTGAAGAGGAAACAAAAGAATGCTTTGATTGAGTGGGTTGTGATGAATATTATTTTCCATCTAGTTCCTCTGTTTAAGGAGAAAACCCCGTGTTATTTAAAAAAGGCATAAACATACATCCTTTAGAACATCATCAGGAGAATGCTTTTTTTCTTTTCTATACTTGATTAAACTGGGTAGTACTTAAAATACATTCTTCTTTAAATCACTTAAATTGATTTCATGTAAACCACAGCCACCATTCCTGGGGTAGTATTGACCCTTGATATTTTACTGGCCATACCATCAGGCCACCCCTCTTTTCTTCCTGGGCTTGACCTCAAATGATGCCGCAGCTGGATTTCTGTAGTACAAATAACTCTTGTCTTCTAAGCATGGAGGTCTGCAGTTGGATGGAAGCGGAGTAAACGGAGAGAAGCCAGGACCTTGGCTTGGGCACCACCTGTGTCAGAGAGCAGGGCCTTTTGTGGAATGGGGGTGGAGGGCTGGGTGGCCAGTTTGGAGGAGAGGAATTGGATCAGGAAGGGGAGGACTGAGTTGGGCAGAACTCAGCAGATTCCTTGGCATGCACTGCAGAAGGATTCCCTGAAGGGCTGCACAGAAAAGAAATGTGCTGTGTGCTTGGCAGGCCAGAAACCACAGAGAACCTGGCAATGCTTTTTGAGGATTTGGGAGCAGAAAAGCAGACTCCCTAGGTGGTTATTTATAGAGCCGTGGCAGTAATGATCAGTTAGAAAAAATAAATTATAACTCAGTTGAACCTGAAATAACTTTTCTTTTGCAACCCCAGGCATTCCACACAGGCCGCTAGTACACTGCTCCCTGCCGATAGTGTTTCTGGAGGCTGAGGGTCAGTCCCACACCAGGCTCACTTATGCCCTCCCCCAAGCTGCAGCACAGTCAACAAAGCAAGGAGAGGGAGTTTCTGCGTAGACTTGGGGAGAATCCTGGCTGGATGACTCCTTTTCCTCCACTGCACCTCCCAATTTACTAAATTGTCCCTCCCTTCCTCCCTCAAGACGTCTGTAACATGAGGCATAAGGTGGACTTGGGAGGAGTGTGGAATTTGTGGCATGCTGAGCCTTCAACTTCCCCACACCTTGTGCACATGAATGTGAGTACACCTGCTTGTTTTCAGTGTCTGTGTTTTGGCTGCAACAAGCGCTTCTGATTGTAGTGCTTTTGGAGAAACTGGTTGCTAAGGTCACAGGACCATAGGCTTTTATCTTTCCCTCAGCCAACCAGCAAGACCATGCTGATGTTCACACTGACAGCTTGGCAGCGGGGTCACCTTGAGCATGCCCAGCCTACCGCTTGGCATCTTGACACTTGGGCATCCATCCTGTTTCCCCTCTCCCACCCATCTGCTTCTTCTTTTCTATTCCTTCATCCATTTGTTCATTTGCTTTTCAATCAACAAGCTTTCATAGCATCTGGCTGCAGATGCATTTTATTTGGCTTGCAACATGGTGTCTTAAATTTGGATTTGCTGCTGATACATAAAGATGCGGTGATTTCATATGAGAATGCAGATACCTGGCCTCTCTGTGAAAATCTGCAGTTCTGGCAATACAGGCTCACATTCCCATGTGCTAGTGTTCTCCACAGGGGCAGCAGGGGCAGCAGGCCCCTTTGATGGCGTGCACCTGTAGTCCCAGCTACTTGGAAGGCTGAGGCAGGAGAATCGCTTGAACCCGGGAGGCAAAGGTTGCAGTAAGTGGAGATTGCGTCACTGCACTCCAGCCTGGGTGACAGAGTAAGACTCTGTCTCAGTCGATCAATCAACCAATCAATCAGTCCAGCCCCTCTGATTCATCACAGTTCCCAGTGACTCCTATTGTCTGGCCAACAGCAAGACAATTACCACCCATGTCGCCTAAACCAGCAGCTTCACCCATTTATGTTACTGGCCTGGCTCTGTAAGCATTTGAATTTGTGACCCCAGTGCAGTTCCTGATCTGAGGAGTCTTATGGTCCAGTGGGGGAGATAGAGCCATATCTGATTTTTGCCTATGAAAAGAGCTGTGAGAATAGTGTATGGGGCGGGGGGGGGGGGAGATTGCTTTTTGACTTCAAGAGTTAGGGAATTCAAGGTGAGTTTGGAAGCAGGTGTTAAAAGTGCAGGGAGAATATGCTAAGAGGGAGCCCTGAGCAGTGCTCCAGACAAAGGGATCGGCATGGGCAGAAGCTCAGAGAGTGAATAAGCAGGAGTCAATGGGGTGGGGGCGAGGCTCTTCTATCTTCAGTGGGAGGCTCCATTGACAGCCCTGCCCAACTTGAAACCCTGGCCAACCTGAAACCAGGCACCCCTGGCCCTTTAGACTTGGCCTTGGCTCTGCAGTCAGCTCCTTAGCGGGCTCCCCTCCCCAGTGCCTGCTGGGTGGCCCTGTATGCAGGTCCTGGCCCATCTGTCAAAATTTGCCTGAAGTAATAGAGTCCTGCTGTTCTTCCCTGTCCTAGTCCAGAATGGAGAGAGTGGGGGTGGGGCAGGAAGAGAGAGAGAGAAAGAGAGAGAGAGAGAGGGCGCCAATCTTTCTCCATCCAAGAGGACAACAGGTGGCCCTAGGTACATCTGCGTGAGTGGACACACTCAGTAAGGCTCCATGATTTCCTGGCCTTCACTCTGCTTCTCTGGTGCCCTTCGACCCATCCCTTGAAAGCCATCTCCTTGATGTGACAGCTCCTCTGGTCCTCTCTCTTGGCATACTCATACGTTCATGATCATTTAGAGGCAGGTGTCTCCCTAGCTGGCATCAGCAGCCTAGAGCTGCTGCTGAGGGTTGGCAAGTGAAGACCCTGGGTAGCTTGTGGCAGGTTCGCCTTGGTAAGTTCCCAGGTGCCTCAAACCCCACCGTTTGAGCTGCTGGCTTGTCCATTTTCTGGGTATGCTCTTCGCTCCTCCTTTCCCTCACTCACTCCCATCAGCCAGGAACTCCCTTCCCCTCCCTTTCCACGTGTCAAAATCCTTCTGTTTTTTAAGCCTCTTGTTACATAACACCTCTGATATGGTTTGGCTGTGTCTCCACCCAAAATCTCATTTGAATTGCAATCCCCATAATCCCCGTGTGTCAAGGGAGAGACCAGGTGGAGGGAACTGAGTCATGGGGACGGTGTCCCATGTTGTTCTCATGATATCGAGTTCTCGCAATATCTGGTGGTTTTGTAAGTGTTTGGTAATTCCTTCTGTGTTCATTCTCCTTCCTGCCACCTTGTGAAGAGGGCGCCTTGCTTCACCTTCACCTTCCACCATGATTGTAAGTTTTCTGAGACCTCTCCAGCCATGCAGAACTGTGAGTCAATTAAGCCTCTTTTCTTTATAAATTACCCAGTCTTGGTATGTCTTTATAGCAATGTAAGAACAGACTAATACAGCCTCCCTGAAGCTTTCCTGGTTCGTGGAGATTCCAGCCCTCATTACATCATAGCAACATTACCAGAAATCAAAGAACTTGCCCCATGTCCAGACGACCCAATAAACATAGCATTTTGGAGCCAGCAGAGAGCTGGGCCAGCCTCTCTTCCATGAAGACCTCATCCATCCTGCTCACTTTATTCCCCACATGCCTCCCACCCTGCTTTCTTTTCTGCTAATGAGCTCTAAAACACAGCCGTTCATGGTGGGGACATGAAGTCTCTGTCCCTACCCAGACTGTGTGCTGCTCGGTAGCAGGAACTGGCTACTGTGTTTGTCTTCCCAGGGACAATTTTACCCAGTTCTGCATAAAATCTGTGTTCAGCTGCAAGTAGTAGCCAGTTGCTGGAGTGAACTGAACTCTTGGAAGAAAGGATAAGAAATTACTCTTTGCATGAGACTTGTCATTAAGGTTATCATTTAAGAAAGAGTGGAAACAGTTTGGGAGTGACTGGGTCAGAGGAGGTGATTCTGTAACATGAGGACACCTTATGGCTAAGAGCCTCATCGCTTGGAACATTTAAGCTTGGTCAATGAGAAATTGGCAGTGCAGCCCATGAAGACTGAGAAAGGAGACCTTCCCCAATCTTGGGAACCCATCCCAAGACTCCAATACCATCTGCCCCACCTTCTTGACAAAGAAAGAAGTATAGACCCTGTCTTTGGGAGTGGGGTATAGACCCCATTTTAAGGACATGAAGAAACCAGGGCCTGGTCATAAGAGGGAGCCTGGCTTCTCTGATGTTCCTGTCTCTGCAACTCTGACCTATCCAAAGCATTTGGGCCAGAAATGAGGGCTCCAGCTTGTTTCCCACACCTGCCCTGGCTCACTGCCAATGATGGTGTCCCCGTGCCCCTCTGCGGTCTCTCACAGTGGTCTTCTCCTGGGCTTCCTGTTGGCTGCCCTGCTCATGGCTGGGCTGTGGCCACTGGCAGCTCCATGGGGCTCTGAGGAGTCAGTGCCAGTACCTTAGGGCTTCTGTTTTTCGGCTGGGGCTCTCATGCAGGGGGTGCTGGCAGAGTTAAGGGAGGCGAAATAGCAGGACTGAATGGAGATGCATGCCCTGAGGAATTTCACCTATCCAGATCTCTCCAGGGCCTATGTGGCCTTATTAATAATTATTTAATTGCAACTTATAATATTTTACTATTTACAGAGAGTGTCCACATATGTTAACTTCCTTGATCTTCACAAACACCCTATCCCTTGGGAATTTTCTACCAGGCACAAGAGGCTCAGAGAGATTTACATGACTTTTTGAGAGTTTGAACTCAACTCTTTGGACTCAAAAACATCTCATTCCACTATGCCTTGTTGCCTCCCAAACCCTGTATCCAGGTAGACCTGACTCACCAGAATGCTTTCTGTGCGAAAAGACACCAGAGCTGGGAAGTGATTCAACACCACCCCCAATCCCTGGAAGTTCCTCTTCTCTGTCCTGTCATTGAGAACACCAGCCTAAGGACACGTTTTCCCCTTCCACATCCTGTTAAAGCTCAGCAGTCTCACTCCTACTATTGAAAATGAGAGGAACAGGAAAAGTCTCAAATTCAGACTTTGGGAACCACGTTGAAAGAAAGTGCTCTCTCGTTCTTCTGTAGATTCCTTTTTTCATTCGACGGATACGTATAGAGAACCTGCTATGTTGCCAAACACTGTTCTAGGTGCTGCAGTTTTAGTGGTGGACACAAAGATAAAGTTCCTGCCCTCTCGGAGCTCACATCCTAGTGTCAGGGCGTAAGAAGCAAGTAGATGATGACCAAAATGTTTCAAATAGTTCTAGGGGCTATAAGGAGACCAGAGAAGGCTGATGAAATGCAGTGTAACTGGCAGGAGGTGGGAGTGAGAACTACTTGGGTAGATGGTCAGGAGAGACTCTGCAAGAGGAAACACACGCTGACACTTGGGGACAGAAGGAGTCTGACATGAGAAAACTGGGGTAGCAGTTTTCCAGGAAGAGGGACCAGCACAGGTCTAAGTTGAAACTCAGAATGAAATGTTAGGAAATAATATTCTTCATGATGGTTAGATCCCATGGGCTGTCATCACTGCAGTTCAACAGTTCCTCAGTGTGGTGCCTAGTAGGAAGAGTTATCCCCGGAACTCTCCATGTGTGCTGTGGGATTCCTGAGAAAACCAGTTCTGAGTTCTAGCCAGTGGACTCACAGTTGAACTTGGAGGGAACCGACAATTGCTTCCATCATAGCCTTACTAAGAAATGACCATGGCATGGCCTAAGTGCTTTGGCATGGAGGACCGGAAGGGAAAGCCTTAGTTCACCAGTTGCAGACTCTTAATGATGACAAAAATCAGGAGATTTTATAAGACTCCATATTTATGATTTTGAGTGTAGTGCTGCTGGAGTTTCTGGTTTGGGTTCTATCAACTTTTTCATTGTTTCTTTGTGCAAGTTACCTTCTCTAAGCCTAGTTTAATTAATACTATATTAAGTGAGATAGTTAGATTCCATGAACTCTAGGGCTCTTTTTATTCTTAACCTTAAAATAAATAACATTTTGTATACTTTTTCTTTGTGTGTGTGGTGCCCTTTTCTGTGCCTCTGCTTTGGGTGAAGTTGGCAGGCTGAGTGAAAGTGAGCTATTAGTGGTTCATTTAATATAAGACAGGTGATACTACTGAACACTGTTGGTGGTAGAACAGAGTTTCTCAAAGTGTGGTCTCTGGATCGACAACAGTTGCGCTTGGTAACTTGTTAGAAACTCCAGCTGTCAGCCTCCAACCCAGACCTACTGATTAAAAAGCCCTAGGAGTATAACCAGAGCTCAGTTTACAAATGATTCTGATGCATGCTAAAGTTTAGGAACCACTAGAGTATATGCTTTGAGATTTGGGTCTACTGGCTGGGTGTGGTGGCTCACGCCCGTAATCCCAGCACTTTGGGAGGCTGAGGTGGGTGGATCACAAGGTCAGGACCAGCCTGGCTAACTTGGTGAAACCCCATCTCTACTAAAATTACAAAAATTAGCCAGGCATGGTGGCACATGCCTGTAGTCCCAGCTACCTGGGAGGCGGAGGCAGCAGAATTGCTTGAACCTGGGAGGCGGAAGTTGCAGTGAGCTGAGATCATGCCATTGCACTCCAGCCTAGGCGACAGAGCAAGACTCTGTCTCGGAAACAAAAAAAGAAAGCTTTTTGTCTACCACTGATGGATTCTTACATTCCAGTCATTGTCATGGCCACAGCAAGCGGTTGCATGTCTGTGCAAATATGGCAACAAGATGTTTATTCAGCTTGGTTTGGTGAACAGTCTGGTGACCCTAAAACAGAAAGAAAGTTCCTGCCTGTGCTGGGATGGGACCCACCTTCTCCTCCTTGTATCATGTCCCATCTGCTCCTCTATGTGAGCACCTGCATGGAGGAGGGGTTAGCAAGGGGGCGGGCTCCTCCCGGAAGTCATGATGGAGTGCTGTTGGATGTGCTTCTGGGGAGACTGCTGTAATTAGAGAAGTTTGTGCATGGTTAGTTTCCATACAGTTTTAAAGTATGAAACTATCTTGGGTTTCTAAGTCCTTGGTAGGTAGATCTGCTTGCACCTGTGCTGTGAAGATCAGTGGTGATGAAAGGTCTTGGGTGCCACAGAACAATCTGGTGACCCTGCTGCACACTGTAGTTTGGTTTCCCTCGTCTAAATGTCCGCTCATGAACTAGAATGAGGTGACCAGATGGTCCAGATCACCTAGGACTGCCCCATGTTTCCCCTTCCTGTCCCTCTCAGTCTGGTGTCTCGGATTTGTTCCTGCGTTGCCCACTTCTGCTGGATCTTGTCCAGTCGAGGGACAAACGTCCTGAAGAATGGGAAGAAAGGAGGTTCCGAAGGCACGGATTCTAATACCATGCCAGAGGCTGAGGATGCTAGTGCTTAAAGGGAAACTGGCACACCCCCGGAGCCCCAAGGAGAGCTGGAGCTGGAGGCACGCGGCCCACAAAGGGTAGAAGTAAGTTCATTTCTCTGGTAGGGCTTAGGGGAGGGTTAGTCGTAGGTAGGGCTTGGGAGGTGGGACCGGGATGGCTCTTACAGGGCCAGAAGGCAAAGAAAGGGCAGCAGATGGGCACAGCAGGGACAAGGGCGTGGTGAGGAATCAGACTGCTCCAGCCCAAGCTGGCGTGGCCTCTCTGCTCTTGCCTTCTGCCCCCTTTCTGTAATCTTTCATCTCTGAGGATGTCGGGCCATTCCTGGGTCCCTTCTTGCTCCTGCCATTTCCTCGACCCTTCCACCCTTGTTACCCTATTGCCCTCTCCCCTCCCCAGGCTCCTGTTTTATCCTGCCCATGCCTGACTCCGTTCTCCTTATCTCATTTCTATCCATGATTGACATGGGAAACAGGGCACAGTAGACTCCAATTGTGATAAGCACTCTCCCTGTTTGCAGGTATCAACCATAACCAAGAGCTATTCATGTCATCCGGCCATCCATCCAGAACCCACTGAATGGAGGACAGCACAGTGAGGTCTTCCAAATTTTGCAACTGCAAAATCTGTAACAACAGCCAGAGAAGCCAAGGAAGCAGGACAAGTCCAACAGTTTTCAGAAGAACCCAGAGAAAATTGTTGAATTGTGACCAGTTTTGCCAATGGATATTGTGAGAAGAGACCTTCCCCCCTGCACTGGATTTCATCATATCTGGATGCCATTGCTCATGGGACTTTGGCCGTCTCATATCTACCTTTAAGCATGCTATTGCTGTTTCAGCTTTGGTAGCTCTGGGTACCTTTCCCTAGGAGAAAATGGTAATCTTTTCTCCCTCTGAGTTCTGGATTAAACTGTCTTACCTGAAACCGGATCACTTTAGGCTAGAAGTGCCACTAGACATTCCTGTTCTCAGAAGCTGCCAAGTTCATGTCATATCTGTTTCATTGTGAACGGGATCCACTTCTGACAGAGGTTGCCTGGCCAGCTCAGTGCATCTCCTGGTCACTTCCTTGGTGCCTTTCTCCCTCCCTTGCCCATCCCAGCTGAGACTTGCCCTGTGGTGGCTCCGTCCCCTCCTGGTGCTTTGACTGTATGTGTGAGAAAGTGTGGTCAGTGGCACTGACATCTTCGTATGTGTGGAGGTAATTGGAGCATGGATCCACCTCTGGAGGAAGGTGGCCATGAAGGAGGCCAGCCTCAGCTCAGTGTTCTGCTGTCATCGCTCTTATTCCTGCCTTTTTAGTGCCTGCCCTACTGCAGGATAATTGTGCTTTTCTTTTTTCAGTTAAATGTAACATTGTTATTTTTCATTATTGCAAAGCAGTACGTACTTGTTACACAAACTTTGGAAATGTAGACAAATAAAAAGAAGAAAAAGCTACCTCCAAATCCTACTTCCCCCAAAGACAAGATGAATCATTTAGGCATATAGTATCACACATGTATAATATGTACACATATATTTCAATGTAACTGTAATGTCATAATACCATGTACAGTCTTTGATAACACACACAGGCACTTAATATCTTATATGAACAACTTTCTAGGGCAACAAGCTCAGTTTACAGCAATTGTAGTGCAAGAGTCCTCAGTTATATGGCTACAGCATTATTGGTTTACCTGATCTCTAATGGTTTGATGTTTAGGTTGTTTCCAACTTTTCTCCACCTGAATAGCATTAATGAAGGTGGTTTAGTTTCCTCTTCCTACAACTAATTATTTCCTTAAGATAAATCCCCAGAAAAAGATGAAAGGAAAATTAGCAAAAGTTCCAAAGATGTCAAACATTAACTTGGAGCCAGCATTAACTGCTCAGAACCCAAATGCATGAGAGACTAGGGTGCTGGGAAGGCCACATGTGCCCTTTCCTGGATGTCTTTGTAGCCACACTTGGATAGCTCTGGCTTCCTTTGCCTTGCCCGGGACAGAGACTACCCATAAATGATGTCTGAGGTAACAGGTGAAAGAGGGAGTGGTGTTGTCTCTTTGGGTTTAGTATGTGGGTATGTCCAGTGAGTGCTCATTGGATGCTGAGAAACAGTCCTTCATTCACTCTTTCATTGCCCATCTATGGAGCAGCCGCTGTTGCAAGGCACCAGGCTAGAGGCTGAGAAGACAAAGAGAGTTAAATAGGGACTTCATCTTGGGAGGATCACAGCCTAGAGAAGGCCAGTGACTCATCACACACATTTACTCCAGAGTGTAGTAAGAGGAAAAATAGAAGTTCGGCAATGCATCTCAGGTCAGAAAACTTGGAAAAATCTGAAAGTCCCAGGGGAAAAATATGAACATCACATAATCGTCTGGCCCATTCCTCACAGCAAACACATCCAAGTGTATCCTTGAGTCTGTGAGTCTTGCTTGTTTGTGGTCATCCTCACTGGATACAACCTTGACAGCATTGCCTGTGTCCTGCATTGGCACCACTGGTGACCTGGCACCATCTTAGACAACTTCTGAAATCTATTAAATGCAAAATCTGGCTGGGCGCAGTGGCTCCCGCCTGTAATCCCAGCACTTTAGGAGGCCAAAGTGGGTAGATCATCTGAGGTCAGGAGTTC